TTTTTCCATTGCTCTGAGCGTTTTCTACAATGAACTTTGAACAAGAAAACCTTTTATGATTATCTGAAACATATCTACAACAAAAATATGTTATATGTGTTTTTATGAGCAGAAAAAGAAATGATAGCGATAATAACATCCGAAACGTACACTATAATTGTAATGAAAATTGAAATGAAGTAATTTATATACACAAGAAAATTAATGGCGCAATAAATGTTCGAATTGGAGTCCATCCATTTTGAGACATTTTTGAACTCGGTTTTTCTTATAATTTACTGCCCTTAATACACTTATTTGCTGCATTGTTGCGAAATCATTCAAAATTCTCAATCTGCAGTCTTCCACATTTTCTATATCTCTGCCAGCATAAATCCTATTTTTCAGTGTCTCCCATAGAAAATATGATGATGTGGTGCTGGAGGTTTTTCCGGGTTTTCCTGCAGCTGAAAAAGCAAATGTGCCACTGGAATCAATGAAGTTGCCCCGCGAGTGCCAATTAATTTTTATTGTTGTTTTTATTTTATTTTTATCGTTGTTTTAATAAAAGTTGCATGAAAATAGTCCAAAATAGTTAGATCTAGTGATCTTGCAGGCCATCTTATTGGTCCATTATATGTCTCGAAATGGAAGGACTCCAATTCGAACATTTATTGCGCCATTAATTTTCTTGTGTATATAAATTACTTCATTTCAATTTTCATTACAATTATAGTGTTCGTTTCGGATGTTACTATTGCTATCATTTCTTTTTCTGCTCATAAAAACACATATAATATATTTTTGTTGTAGATATGTTTCAGANACCGTCTAAGAATAATCCTTCGAATACCAATGCTCTTCAATTTTTCCAATAAATTATGATGAACTGTGTAAAATGCCTTTTGCAATCGAGAGATAGTAGTCCACATTTATCAAAGTAATGGTGATTTAGTCCATTTTGGAGAGTGGCTACAAAAATATTCATCATGTAAAATGCAGTTTTCTTATTAGTCAGTGGGCTATGCTTAAAAATTTCCTGCATATACAATTGGCAATACAACTGAAAGAGTCGACCTTCAATTTTGGAACCTGTACACGTGCAGACCGGCTTCGGGCACTGACGAGTGGCTAAGGAGTCCGAAACCGGCCTACAAGTGTGCCCGTTCCAAAATTGAAGGACGACTCTTTCAGTTGTATTGCCAATTGCATATGTAGGACATTTTCTGTGTAGATTCCTGCAATGACGCCTGTCGGATATAATCCAACGCCGTTCGTGGTATTAGCCAGTGGAGTAGTTGTTTTCTGATAGGCGTCAGTCCATTCAACCTACTGTGTAGGTATATCTGCGACAGGCTTGAACATTTACGGTTCATTTCTTTAGATTTAAAATGCAGTTGAAATACAAAGTAATGTGGAGTCGGCACCTGATACCTGGCAGTAATGAAGAGTGGACAAAATGGTAGCTGTGGGAAGTGACCATTATTATTCATTGGGAGCATTTAAAGACTTCTCCAAAACTTACTTGGAATACTCCAACAGCTCCGATCCATCCCCGAATTGAGTGTGCCAAGTCTCAGTCTCGGCATAGTAATATTTTATGGTGTGCTCCGTCAAGTTCGTTTCCTTTATGTCTCCGTTGTAGTAATGTACAATAATCAGATTACCGTCCGGCGAGACAGTTTTGGTGTTCCCGTTACTGTATTTTGTTTCCTTCGAACCGTCCGGGAACACCTTTTCGGTTTTGGTACCTGCAAATGGAAGATGAATAAGTAACAATTGAAAACTGTTGAGTACACTCATATCTTATCTTTGTTGTGTGTGTGGTGCTGCCACCTAGTATCATTACTTGAGCATTCATTCTGTGTATTATATTCTGTGACTAATTAGTATAAGATTGTTCTTTGGTCTTATGATATTGACAGAGATAGTGTATCACCAGCAAAGAAAGTTGATGAGCGCTACAAGTAAAGTAAGTTGTGAAGCTAGTAACATTATCCGTTAATATCATTGATAATTATCCACGCTTCAATCATTCAACAAAGACATCAGAAGATTACCTTTCCTTGACTCGTTCAATGTAGCGTTTTGCTGTCCAGGATCTGCACTTTCTTTGAACACGTTCTCGTACAGTTTTTCGATGGAGAGATTGCCGAAAGCCGATTCATTCGTAGTGTGATCCTCGACTGTGGTGTGGTCTCTAGACGATTTGTGCTTCAGGCTCGACAGCTGTCGTTTCGCCGGCTGCAACCGAACAAACATGGAAAGTTATTTGTGGAGGGTCCTTGTCATTCTGCGATGAACCGGACAAGTAAATTAATCGGGTTGAAATGGAGGGGGGGGTTTCCCAAATTTCGAATTATATGTCATCAGAACAATCACGCCTCGATTATACCTCTAAATTAGTTTTGAATCGTTATTACATCGACTTATTCTCATAATTCATTGAAGCTCAATTGAAGTAGCGATTTCGACAGAAGCCGGAGGATGTTGACGTCATTTTCACAATCTGACAAATGACATTTGTTAATTCGTCACGCCTACGACCTATGTCTTGATGTATCATTCAACTTTACCATGCATTTGATGTCAAAAAAATTGTCCAATCATTATTTACATATAAAAGGGAATCAAATAAAAGATACAATCTATCTCTTTTTTTTAAATCTTCTCACTTCAACACCCTAATATTCTGTAACAAAAAAACTCGTGTATCATGAAATATCCAAAACGATCACCTTTTCCAATCACCAGATTGATTTTTTTATCTCTTCATTATGTCACATATTCTACCAAAGCTCTGGAGGAAAAAAAACAAATTTTGGTGCCCAAATTTATTTGTTAATACCTGAAAATGAACAATATATCGGCATTTTTAGAAGTCATGATTTTCAAAGAAAAAAATTGAAATTAATTTTTATTTCGAAAACGGTAACAGATAGGTATAGGGAAATATCAAGAAAANGCGATAAATACTCGAGTATTAGTCTGAAGTACAGTTAAAGCATTTGTGTTATATAGGCAGTGTAGTAATTCAATGGCGAATGTTCCTCCTGACGAAAATCAAGTAGTTTTCATAAAAGAGCTCTAAAACAACGCATTTTAAACTAATCATTTTAACCTTTTTCTGTAAAAAATTATTCAAATACTGAAAAAGAGGATTGAAATAATGCATCCAACATTTGAAGGGATTCGTTTCTATTTCACCATTTGGCAACATCGGTTATAGATAATAAAGAACAATGAATCTGTTACCTGTATGAGCAAAAAAAAAATGACATATTTCAGAGGTGTGCTGTTCTGTTTACTTATGTTCCGAGTTCCGAGACATTCTGTGACATATGACACTTTGTGCACCTAACCTATCTTCCTCTATATAAATAAATAACAAAACAACTGTTGTTTATGTGGCTTGTAGAGGTAGTATTGAACTATAACTTATATTTTGCCTTAATTGTTGATTTATAAAGATAATTTTCCTTTTTTAAAGTATAACATCTAGGTATGTATAAATTATTTCAACTTAATATAAGCGCTGTTGCCAATATGTGAATTAGAAACAAATACCTTTAAAAATCAAAACCCAACATTTGAAACATTGATTTGAATACTTTTTGAAGTGAATTTGAAAAACTCATGAATTAAACTCAACTTCATTTTGTTCAAACTTGCATTTGCTGTAATAACCCAAATTGAGGAACATTCCCCATTGTACAGTGTAGTCAATTATTGTTGAACCCAAAAGAAAAAACGTAACAATACAAAATCTCGAACACGAAAGAATTTGTGGTAAACTCTTTTCCTAGATACAAAGTTTTCTCACAAATCAAATACACATAACCTGTCTTTAACGGGTTTAAATTTTCTAGAAGTTTATTTCCGTCTGTTGTACCTCAAGAATCCCATTTGGGACCAACAACTTTTAATTTTTTTTTTCGGTGACTCATCTAGCGCAACATAATAACTCAGTAAATTTCTGCTTTGAGTCTCGTTGTGTGTGCGCTAGTATGAATACTGACCAAGCAATAGTTAGAGTTCAAGCATGCTGACGTTACTTTACACCAGACACAACATCATACTTGGAGTTTTCTGCTCTCTCGATGAATACTTTACCTGTAATGACTAGCAGGGAAAAACATACCTTCGGGGAAGTCTTCAGACGCATCATTGTGAGCATTCTCTGAGAGATGTTTTTTCAGTTTCCGTTTGAAATTAGGGATGATTGCATTTTTCATCGATTGGGACAGTGAGTTACATCTCCTTGTTATTTCTAGTCTTTGGTTTGGTGCTCTGATATTATCCTTGTTCCTTTTATTATACGAATGGTTGTTACCGTTTGTAGTAAACTTTTGTAAATTTTCTTGAATGTGTTCAAATTTCAGTATATTACACATGATGGCAGAGTTAATATTTTGAACTTAATGAACCAATTCTTACAGCTCTCCATTTGACCTATTCCAGTTAAATCTCTGATTGCTCTTTTTCGAAACTTAAATATTCTCGAGATATGAACAGATGTGCCCCAGTTTATCAATCCATAAATTGAGTAACTATGAAACATTGCATGATAAGCGGTATGGGCGACTTTATTTTTTATCTGCTTGATTGCGTATACCTTGCATGATAGATTTTTTGCTAGTTTGTGAATATGGGGTTTCCAAGTTACCTTTGAATCAATGGTTATACCACATTTCACATTATTCGAGACATTATGAGACAGCGAGAACATAACTGTTTGTGTCTTGCTTTTATTCACACATAGGCTATTCGCATTAAACCAGTCCGTAGCTTCTTGAATAACCCGCTTTTTCGATTCTGATGACTCTTCAATATTTTTTTTTCGAATGGCGAAGGAAGTGTCATCGGCGAATAGCATTGTGAACATTGTCATTGAATTTGGCAGGTCATTAATATAAATCAAGAAAAGTAGTGGCCCAAGCACACTACCTTGTGGAACACCATTCAATATCGTTTGTAAGCTACTGAGTTCTTCATTATATGATACACATTGCACATGTTCTTAGTTTCTGTAAAATTTTATTTTGAACTGCTCAAACTTTTGCAGAAAATGCCTTTTTACTTACATTGATTTTTTGTTAGATGCTCTGAAAAGGGGTCCACAAGTTAACTCTGTATACCCTGATTCTTCCAAAGCTTTTGACAAAGTCAATCTTGAGCTCTTAATTCATAAACTTTATACGGCGTTGATGTGCTAATATTGCAGTGGCTTAAGAGCCATCTCACGGAAAGAACACAAATTGTCAGGGTCAATCATTATTATTCTCATATCGTTGCAGTTATATCAAGTGTTCCACAAGGACCACATTTGGGACCACTGTTGATTACCCCTTTCATTCACAATCTAATTCATTGCTTCCGTGAGAGTTAAGCTTTGTTATTTGCAGACGATTTAAAATGTTTGAGAATAATTGAAAGTGAGCTTGTGATGCACAGTTTGAAACCTTTGGTGTAGTAATAAATATTACTGGTCTTTTCCCAACACCAAACCGTTATTTTAACACCACGATACGTGTTTCTATCTAGAAATGCACTTTTTCAATTTTATTCAAAAAAAAAGTTGAATTTGACAAACACTGAATATCAGTGGGTCGCAGTTGGCCGCATCATTTTAAGTGAAATTTGAAGCACAAACAAGTGTCGAAGTTAAACTTCATTGTACAACTGCTGCCATCTACCTCTGAGGTTAAACACTTCTGGGACTCATATTTTAGAGGTTAGAGAATACTGAAAATAAAAAAACTTCACCAAGCTTTCTGGGAAAGAATCATATATCGAGGTTGAAAATGAAACGAGCTGAAAGGTAATTTCGATAAAAATATTTTGTATCAAGCGGGATATTTAGTGAAATGAGAAAATTATATTTCCATTGTAATATCAACATTTTCCTTAAATACAACCGGAAAGTTAAATAGCATAGGCCTGAATATCAATTATCAAAATTATTTTAAGTGTTTGGGAAGGAAAGGTTTTAGCTTTCTACTTTTTCATCTCCATACAAAAAAGCGGAAGTATTCAAAAGAAAGGAAGAGGGGGTATTCCAACGAAAGGAATAATGCAATTGATTAAAAATTGAACTCATTAAAAATATGTGTTTATCATGCAAGAAGTAACTTTCAGGCAGAGACTGGAAGAAAAAGCCCTCTCAAAACAACTACTTTCATATAAACATTGAATTACACGATAGAAAGAATACTGTTGTGAATCATGCCCTAAAGAAAATAACGCCGGCCGCCACTGGTAGCCATGAACCAATTGTGACGTAGCTACGAGCGCGCGAATATACGATGTTCGCTGCCGCTCTAGATGTAGCGATAATAATGCTTCCGACTTCGATGGAATTCCGCTAATTTTCTACCGCATTCGATTACGATATATAAACGCTAGCCACGAGCATATCGACACAGTCAAGTGGAAGTTACAGTGCGGTACACGAAGCGATCTAGTAAGGCGATCTAGACATTCGATTAATAGTTGGAGCGTTGTTGTATTTAAAGTGAAAGTTTGATTATCATTCAGTGTAGTCAATTATTGGTCAAACCAAGGGAAAAATTTAACATTTGGTGTCGGAAGTGGAATAACTGACTGAAATTTTTCTGTTTTATGGTGAAAACAAGGAATGTCAATTACGACAGAATGGAAAAGCGTAAGAAAATGTTTGAGGCTTTGCAAGCGAGCCTAGCGGAGAAGAAAGGAAGATGAACGCAAAAGAGAGGAAGATGAATGAAGGTGACGGGAAGAACAATTACGCCGAAATGAAGATCGTGAATTACTACTAGGTATTCAAGAAAAACAGGAGAAAGACAGAGACTTGCTGGTAAATATTCAGGTAAAACAGGATAAGCAAGAAAAAGACAATCTGTGAGTAAAGGTGAGGTACAGAAATATATTTAGGAAGAAGTTGGAGAAGTATTTCAGGAAACAAAGAAGGGATTGGAAAAAGTAGTCGATGAGAAGGTTGAAGGGATTGAGGGGATATTTGGAAGGAAACTTGAAAGAGTAAACAAAAAGTCGCTGCCATTGAGCTTCAAGGAAGGCTATGCAGTGTGGCTCTACCAACCTCAACGTCGGAAAGGTTTGTGTCCCAAGTTGCAGAGACCATGGCAAGGACCCTACGTGGTAACCAAAAAGATAAACGATCTGGTGTACAGAATCCAATTGTCTCCCAGAAGCATGCCTAAAGTTATCCACATAGAGAGGCTGAGTCTTCACATGGGTAGTGTTGTAAATCATACCCTAAAGAAAATAACGCCGGTCGCCACTGGTAGCCATAAACTAATTGTGACGTAGCTAAGAGCGCGCGATTCTTCGATGTTCGCTGCCGCTCTCAGTTACGTTACAATTGGTTTATGGGTACCAGTGGCGGCCGGCGTTATTTTCTTTAAGGCATGATTTACAACAATACTTTTGAGATGTTTGGAGTATCAACTGAATAGGAAAAAGTGTTTTTGTATACTTTAATGTCCATGTAAAAGTAGCTGTTCCAAAAAGTTTTTGAAATTAGTTTATTCGACGGACGTACCCCTTTTCAATTTAAATTTTTAGCGTTATTTTTACATGTTCCCAAAACGATCTGCAAAACTTTATAGCAAGACTTACATATCGAAAACTGCCTTTTCCCTGACGAACTTCTTCTTCTCCCCCTCCAGCTCCTCGCGCAGATCCCCTACGTCTTCTTCGTATTTCTTCTTCAGATTTTGGATCTCTTTGCTGAGCTGGTCCCGTTTCTTCTCCAAATCCTTGGCGAAATCGCAAACTCTAGCTTTTTCGGCCTGTATATCTGGCACCTCTTTGGAAAGCCTATCTAGTTGCTTTTTTAGCTCTCCACAGCTGAAGCAAGTCTCGACTTTGGGGGCAGTTTCCTCCTTATCCTTGAAACTGGTGTTTACCGCGGTATCGACTCTGGTGGGGCCCCTGAAGGTGTTCTCGAAGTCTGTGTAGAAGCTGGATTGGGAGTGAGAACGGGTGTCTTCCTCTGAGAAATTGGTTTCCTCGAGTGTGGTCGTTACTGGTACTTTATCTGATGGAATTCATAATAATAATAATGATAATAACAATAAATTTATTATTTCATTTGAAGATTTAGAGGTAGTGGCTCTGTGGACTTATAAATATTCTTCATATACAACTTGAATTTTCCTAAATAGCTGAATGGTCGTTAAATTACTGTTAAGAAAAAAAAGGGCCTATAACTGATCCTTGAGGGGCACAGCATCAATTGATTTTAACACTGGTTAATTACTTGATAACTCCTCTGACTCAGGTCTGACTATCATTCAATAACATTGATTCAAGAACACGTTTTTTATGAAATGAAACATTTTTCATACCGATGTCATCAGCGGAGATTTTCCTAAAGTTCTGCAGGAAGTCGTTCAGAACAACAGTTTTTCTGTTCACTTCCTGCAACTTTTGGATCAGTTGCCTGTTGTCCGTGTTACATTTCAATTCCTCTTTTCTCTCTTCGCGTATGGGGCTCCTTTTTGGATGTAATTTGACTTTGTGCGGAGTGCTGGAAAGCAGTCTTATAATGCTGGAATTTGTGGATGAGAAGCTGCTGTCTTCAGCCCGCTCCTCCAAGGCTTCGAATATACGGAGTTCTTTATCTGTCGTATTTCCCGATGTATGCTCCGTCTGCCGGAACTTGTCATGATTGGCTTGGGTGAAGGCAGTCCTGGAAATTAATTTGAGAAGGAGAGAGAAACTTGAGATATCAGATTTATCTATTGAGAATTTTCGGTTTACTGTCTTTGGCTTGAATTTGTTTCATCTGAACATATCTTCAAAAACAACATTCGTTATGGAATTGAATCAGATATCATTGACAGGATTGCTACACAATATTGTATATGGAAGAGGTGAAGTTTGACTTACATGAAACATTGGTTTGCATGCTATGGTAACGATTGCCTCGAATTTTACTAATCTGGCACAAAAAATACAAAAACTACCCAGAGAGCAAAAATATCTGATAGAAAACACTTACTCCGTGTTGTGCTCAACTTCAGAAGTAGTTTGTGGCCTCCCCGGCACGAAATGCTTGAACGCCAGCTCATTGATCCTGTCTAAAAGATAAGAGTTGAATAGTCCCCTTGGAGTAACCTGATTTTCTGGAACAGTCCTAGTTTCTTCGTCCGAATATTTACTCCACGTAGCTTTAGGTTTGATACAAGCGTCAGGAGCTTTCAAAGGGGTTAGTGTCAACTGAGTGCCTTCGCCAGCCGGTATTGATCGATTAAGACAGTGTTTATGCCGTTCAGACGAATTCTTGCTTTTCCCCAGTCTCCCTTCGGAAGAAGCGCTCGACAGCTGGACCCTCTTGTTGAACCTTACATTAGCAGATTTTGGAGTCAAGCCATACCTGATTTTTTCGGAAGAGGAATATTTTATTAGCAGAAATTAATTTTAAGCGAGGAAACCTTTTGGTTTCCTTTTTCTTCATCGCTTTAGAGAAAATGAGAAACTTTCATAGAGGGAAAGGAAAAATTACGTCCTATACTATTCACAGAGATCATACATGATGATAATTATATAAGATTGTTAAAAAAAATGGAATTTTTTTATAAATATGAACATTTTTTTTATCTGAGAGATAAATGCAAAGCTTTGAGAAACACTTGCTGCCAAAAATATATCAATAAAATGCAGAATAACATCAACTATGATCCCAGAAATTTCTGTAATCATATTACACCTGTACAAATCTGCTCATTTATCAATACTCTATAATAAATGCATTAATTTCGCACAACCTGTTGAACATATAACTTTAAATGAGAATCCAAAAAGAACAAGAAATACAGAAATCTTCAAAGTACCCTTTTATCATACCAACTATGGCCACAATAAGTCTATAGGTAGAATTTTGAGACTTGAAAACACTTACAATGTGGATCATTTGAAAATATTGTAATTTATAATTGTTCCTACATCCACCTGATAGTAATAGAATAAATAGTATATGGAATTTGTTGATTATTTTGTAAAAATAGACAATGCCATAAATAAATAAACAGTGAGTGAATAACTTCTTGTTATTAGTGTTAATTTGTAGTTTGAAGACTCCTAAATTTGTGTCTTTGTCCATGTTTGACTTGTTCTTTATATGTATATCCAAGAATTTGCCAGTCGTATACGCTATATTAATATCCACTTTTGGGAGTAGTCTTTAATGCATGAAATGTAATACTATTGCCTTTAAAATTCATACCATTGCAGTGAAATTCATAGAAGATTTTGTTAGTTTTGTGAATATAAGAACATAAAAGAATCTGAATCTCATCATTTGATTATGCTGTCCAAGTCACTGGCGATAGTTTCTAGATTATTTGAGGTATTTTTGTCGTGCTAATGTTATCATTTGCAAAAATAGTGGAATTTACTTGAACCAGAGGGGCAGTTACGTAGATCAGACTTGTAAGAAAAAAGGATAGGGCCCAGTACGGAACCTTGTGAAACACCGGAGAACAAAAACTCGCCAATCTCTGAATGTTCCCATTGAAAGGTATCAGTATCACTATTAAATACTTAAAAATTACTGGAAACTGCCTGTATTGAATATCTGATGAGGTTGAAGACTGAAACCTATAGGTTCTTTCAAAAATGAAATTTAAAGTATCAAAAAAATCTTGCTCGATTACTGGTAGTGACTAAAATGAAGTATGTAGTCTTGAAAATGAGACATATCCTATACACAATCAGGTTTGGTTTTCAATTTATTTTCAGCCATATAGACAAAAAAATATATTAAAGTCTTTTGGCATATTCAGGTATTATTGCAAGTATTTTTTTGTTTCCATTACAATTGAATTTTGATTAAATTCCAAGTAGTTTTTGATTCATTGTCTGAAAAGATGATGTAGTTAACCAGCTGGTTAACGAAAAAACAGATTTCAACAGATTTTTAAGTCATTTGAATCTCAGAATCTCTCAATGAATCTTACAGCTTTTGAACTCTTTCTGTAAGGAGTGACATAATAAAATACATCATTGTGAATATTTTTTACTGATGTATAAAATTTTTTTGTCTTCCTTTCTAAGGAAGTTTTCGACTATGACTAAGGAAAACTACAAAGCCAGAAGGCTTTCGCCATACCTGATGAGCCCTGATCCCTTTTTTAAAAAAGGTTTCTTGGGTTTGACATGAACCTGAGCAGGAACATCTTCCGCTAGTTTCTCTTCCAGTAACTGCTCAAAGGGCTTTGAAGGAGTTATGGCTTTTTTGTCCCAGTCTACTTGTTTTCGGGGTGAACATACGGGGGTTGCAAGCGGGCTGTCGAATGCAGAGATGCCTTCCACGGTGTCAGAGGAACCAGTCACTTCGCTGGATTTGGTTTTAAGCAGATTATCATAATTTCCTTGCCAGAGCTTCAAGTCCTGCAGTCTGACAGAGTACGGTGAGGTGAGAAACGACATTTTCGGTGCTGAGTTCAGTCGTATTTTAGGATTCCTAAGGTAGAGAAGGTTTTGTGCATATCCTCTTAGAGGTTATTGGTGTAGTTCAACTGACAATGTCTTAACGCGATCTCATTGAGAGTTCTGCTTTTCATGAAATTATATCTCAAAATTGATATTAGATGACTAGAGAGTACTTGGTACTTATCTGTTATCGTTTTTAATATATCATTTCATTTCTGCTCTACGGTTAAAATACAAACTTTCAAATTTCAAAGACACTGAAGGCAGTGTTGCCGATGAGAAACGTCAATTTTGTTTACATATCATAGCAGGAACCTGTGAAAATCGTTCCCATTCAATAGTTCTTATTTTTTCCAAAAGATGACACCACAAAGTTTTCTTCTTCTTCTTCTCTGAGTCACTTGGCCTTAGTATAAGCTTTGTATGTAGTCTATGTACAAAGGTATATACATGGTATACCGTTTCATATTTCATACTGAACGTCGTAGTTGTAATCTGTGATTTTGAATTTTCACGCGTTTACCTAACAGCATTTATGATTGTTGTTTGTAAAATGATTATTAATGGTAATATTATTGAAAATAAAGATTAGTGCTACTAGGAAAAACTAGTAACAGCAACTGTTTGTGGTTTCAAGTTTTAATCCATAGTTTTGCGACGAGATGGCGCAAGCGGCTGGCATCGTCAGATGCCTGTGTTGTTTTTAAGGTTATAGGTTCCAAGGTCAGAAAGAAACTTCAACAGACGACGACCTAAAAAGCCGATACATTACAGTATAATAATAACATTATTTCACCATTTGTTATTCACCATAGCGTATATAACAGTTTGGGACAAAAGGGTTATTTCTGTGTGAAATGAAACTTCAATTGTCACAATTAAAATATTTTCATGTAACATTATATAAAGAGCACAGTCCACCAAAATTCTGAAAAGGTTGTTCAATAGAAAATCTCCAACTCATCATCGTTGAAACAATTGAAAAATTGCGTGTATACAAAAATAATTACAATCATTAAAAAAATATCAAATAAATCATGTAGCTGTAAAGTAAAAGTATTGCAAATTTCCCATCTACCTCTATTCGAAGATACATTTCAGGGTTTGATGACATATAAATTTTTTCCACATACTTAAATGATTATCTTTCCAAAATATATATTTCCTCAAACCAAACCAGTTCGTTAAATTCACCTGTAGCTAGGGCCGCTATAACTATCAAAAAAGAAGAATGAGGGCCTGTCAAGGTTGTCACTGACACGTAAAATACACCACCAACAACTACCAATAACCGAATCCCAGTCGAAATTCAATTATCTAAACACAGTTCTATCGCTTCGATTTTGATTTCTTCGAAATCCTTCACTTGTTTCACGGCCCTTTTGGTGTTCCATCTTTCCGGCTTGTGACCCATTACGTGCCTCCGTAGCGCCCTTTTATACTTTGTCTCGAAACCGCAATCGTAGCATTGGAATCTTTCACCGTTCGTCTCGTGAACGACGCTATGCTTGGTCAAGCATTCCCGTCGCTTCGTTTTGAAGCAACATAGCGGGCATTTCAACAGCGAAGCTTCGTCGAATTTTTTATGGAGGGCTTCTTCATGGGAGAGTAGGCTAGATTTGTACTTGGTTTCGAAAGGGCAGACCGGGCATCGGAATTTCTTCACCTCGTCTGGATTTTTGTGCTGTAGATTCTTATGGGTACGTAATCCACCTGTTGAAGAAATACAGAATTTATTACGTCATTGGCAAACAGCTCTGGTAGCTAAAGCCACGGTACTTAAAAAGTAGAAATCTTCACAAGATGGTGGTAGAACTTGAACAAAAAACATTTCTGAAAAATTTACCGTCTGTTATTGTAAAAATGTATCGGAAGCTTGTGAAGTATGATTGTCGGACCAGTCCAACTGAGAATGCTACTATGTAGTGAAACGCTAGTTGTAAATTTAAAACACTACCAATAATACCATAGTCTGTCAGTTTGACCGAGAGAATATTTCGATCTAGTTTCGAACGCCCTCTGTAGGTAAAGAAACGCAACAGTCACATATTGTTATTAACATACATAAGGATAGCTTCATCGCAGTTTTACAAGAATGTTTTTCCTAAAGCCTGATTGATCATTTATCAGAAATTCACTTTTTTCTACATAATCCAGCCATTGATTATAAACTTTTTTAATAGGAGAGAGAGTATGTATGGGTCGAAATTCATTCGCATCAATTGTCTTATTCATTTCGAGAATAAGAATTGCATGACGCACAACTTCAAATGCACATTTACAACATTTTGGAATTCAGAATTTCATTAATATTATTCAGAAATAGGGAACTTGGTCAGTATTGACACAAAACCCTAGTAGCTGAGGCCAAAGCATGAAAAAAAAGAAGTTACATTCTTCTTCTAAATGTCACTGGACTCGACAATTGGGTCGTTAAGCCAGTTCCAACTGAATTGTTCATATTACAAACTTCTTGATTAAAATAAAAATCACCTCACCTCTGTATTTCGTTTTGTACTGACATTCATCGCATTCGTAAATCGTCGCGTCTTCCGTGTGAATGGCTAAAATATGCTGCCTGAGGTCCTGCGACCTCTTCGATTTGTATTCACACTGCTGGCAACAGTGCATAGTAACTTCCTCGGGTTTTTTATGAATCAGCCCATGTTTGACGATGCTGTGCTTGTAGATCGTTTTGAATTCACACTCACCACATGTGTAGATTACCGGCTTTTCGAGGGGCTCGTGGCCCCGGATGTGTTCCTTGAGGAACCGTTTTTGTTTTGTCACGAAATCGCACAGATCGCAGCTGAAGGTCTGAGGAAGAGTTATATTGATCTATTTATTACTTCATTCTTCAAATTCAATTGCTACTGACCTTTATGTGAATTTCTTCGTGCATTTTGACGCTCTTTTTCCACTTGGCCTCATAAGGGCAGAACTGGCAACGGTACGTCACTAGTTCATCGGGATTACGGTGGGTAAGCATATGTGGGACGAGGCTGCGTTTCTGCCTAGTAGTGAAGTTACACTGAGCGCAATAGAAGATTTCGTCACCTCTTTCTTCGCCAACGTGTACCTGTAAACGAAAAATACTACCTTCATAGTCAAATCCAAATAAATAAGAGTAAGAGTCCATGAATGCTGGACCTTGATATATGGCCTATTCTAACAAACACACATTTATTGGTTTTGTGTTTATTTCGGAGTACTTAAGATCGTTTTATCGTTATTTATGGTATTTGCTCAACTTATTTGTAATAAAAACAACAATAAAAATTAATTGGAGGTCCGGAGCGAGTTCATAGATTCCAGTGGCGCATTTGCTTTTTCAGCTGCAGGAAAACCCGGAAAAACCTGCAACAACACATCATCTGAAGATCTTGATCTACCAAAGTCCTCTCTCTTATAAAACAAAATATAGGGTGTCTCCAGAGGCTTCAATAGATTCAATACATCGCCAGAACACTTCGTGACACAACCATCGTCAAACCAGTCTGTTTCGTCTTTGACCAATGCATAATAATGGCCAGATTCAACGCCAGAACCACAGTGAACAATGACTACATAAATATTATAATAGTAGTCTGCCAGATTGAAATGTTCATCTATTTCGAACTTTCAATGTTATTATTAGATTGACTGGTGCCTCAGCTATACTTGTTTCCTTATAACGGTCAGTTAGTTTGGCGCATGTTTGGCAATACTGTCGTTCATCACCTGTTAAAAATTCCATTTTCAGATGATTTAACAATAAGCTTTGCACTGACTGGTTATTAGTCATATTAGGAAAAGCTAGATGAAGTTCCAGAAATTCACATTCGTTTTCGAAGAGCTCACGAAGCTCACGAAGAGTATTCAACAAGGACCCCACGAATTCGGAACAATCCTCTTGTTGTCCTAACGAGTATCTAGTGGACTTCAAAGACTCCAGGAAATCGGTTGAAGGGAAAGATGATACCTTCTTACGAAACTGCAGCTGCATGAACAGGTGTTTGAGTTTGATGAATAAGTAGGAAGCATTCCCGTTCTCGTTCATCATTAAAACCTCGTTCTTGAAATTCTTCGTCATGAACAACACTTGTAAAATGCTATTCATGTAGCAAGAGTTTCCTAAATTATCCAATCCAGTTTTCTTCTCTAGATTTTCAGGATAACTCTCTACTGATTCGTGAGGAAGAACACGTTTCACAGAATCTCTATAAGAACCATTTCTCAAGCTGCGATCGATTCTTCCAAGTGAAGAAGGGTTTCGTAGAGGGATCGGGCTCTTGCTTCATGAAGCTCTTCCACTGAAAAGGAACCTGAACTACGAGGACTGAAACTCATATTCGGATGTAAAAAGGATATCACTTGCTGCCAAGATAGAGCTTTCATCTCTTTTTTTTAATGGAAATGGGGAACTGATATTTCCGGGTTTATTATCCGTGGTCTGTAGGTTTTTATATCTAATATTTAATCTGATACTGGTGGGTCATAACTGGTCACTAATCATTGGAAAAAGCCAATGATCGTGGAAGGGCCATAGATAACATCCATGCGCATATTGATGGACATTTTGTGGAATTGACTGACAAAATAAAATGCTTAGGACTTCATATAGATTATAATCTTATTTGTTTATCTATCAAGTCAATACTTTCTTTCAAATGTCGTTCATACATCTGTATTCAAACAGACAATATCTTAGTAGGTCACACAACATTACCCTTTCACAAGTACTGATTCTATCTACGTTCAAATATTGCCATATCATTTATGGCCCTTGCCTCGATTCCACAACTTCTGCAAGAATTCAGAAAGTACCAAATGCCTGCATTAGACTAATATCCAGCCTGAATTCTCGTTCTTGAAATTCTTCGTCATGAACAACACTTGTAAAATGCTATTCATGTAGCAAGAGTTTCCTAAATTATCCAATCCAGTTTTCTTCTCTAGATTTTCAGGATAACTCTCTACTGATTCGTGAGGAAGAACACGTTTCACAGAATCTCCATAAGAACCATTTCTCAAGCTGCGATCGATCCTTCCAAGTGAAGAAGGGTTTCGTAGAGGGATCGATTCGGCTCTTGCTTCATGAAGCTCTTCCACTAGAAGGGAACCTGAAATACAAGGACTGCAACTCATATTTGGATGTAAAAAGGAAATTCATTACTTGCCGCCAAGATAGAGCTTTCATCTCTTTTTTTTTTAATGGAAATGGGGAACTTGACAAGCACTTAAATTGTCCGATATTTCCGGGTTTATTATCCGTGGTCTGTAGCTTTTTATATCTGATATTTAATCTGCTACTGGTGGGTCATAACTGGTCACGAATCATTGGAAAAAGCCAATGATCGTGGAAGGGCCATAGATAATATCCATGTGCATATTGATGGACATTCTGTGGAATTGACTGACAATATAAAATGCTTAGGACTTCATATAGATTACAATCTATTTGTTTATCTATCAAGTCAATACTTTCACTCAAATGTCGTTCATTCATCTGTATTCAAACAGACAATATCTTAGTAGGTCACACAACATTACCCTTTCACAAGTACTGATTCTATCTACATTCAAATATTGCGATATCATCTATGGCCCTTGCCTCGATTCCACAACTTCTGCAAGAATTCAGAAAGTACCAAATGCCTGCATTAGACTGATATTCAGCCTGAATTACATAGATCATATGACTCCATCAATCAATCAATGAAACTGTTTGAAAATGTAAATCAGAAGAGAATTGCATTTCGCTTGTTTCATTCAAAAACTGATACAAAGCCAACGACCCACTCATTTGCTGAAAGAACTTCTTCCCAGACACATTCAGAAAACATTTCTGAAATATCTTTGAAAAATTTATGACTACCGATATTTAAAAGTAGACTTAAAACTGAATTGCTAAATCAACAGTGACCTGAACATAAAACAGGAGAGCCAAGACCAAAAAAAGCCTGCTAAGTGCGATCAAATGTCAAAGTTTTTGCCACATGGAAACTAAACGACAAAAATTATAAAATCCAAACTTCATTCCACAATTACATATATACATACCTTTTGCACGTGAAACTTGAGGTAGCGCTGGTGTTTGGTAGAAAAAGAGCACAAATGACAACCGTACTTGGTCACTTGGTCTGGTTCCTGGTGCTTCACTAGATGGCGTTCTAAGTCTCTTTTCCACATCGACTGATAAGGGCACTCTTGGCATTTAAATCTGAATAAACATTTCAAGTTTACATTTGTTACTTACTGCATACTGCATATCCACTATACTAAATCACAAATATACTTTGAGGATTACTTGTTGCCTGTCAACTGCACTATGAAAAAGTTTTCTCTCGTTTTCCACAAGCTTAATAGTTGAAAAAATATTTGCAAAAGGCGATATGTATTGGAAATTATTTTCAAATATTTCTGAAACATTGCATAAAGACAAAGATTTTCTGGATTACAGTTTATGAACAAACTAATCTCTCAATTTGTCAAAGCCAAAAGTATATGATACAGTGATCAAATTGAACGAAATATTCGAAGCGTTTTTTATTTCTACATCTCCATTGCCTCATAGTGGGAAATTACTTGCGACGAATCTTCCAAATCGAAGACATTGCACAGGTGCCTGATGGTTTTACTTCAGCTCTCTCCATGGCCTTAACTGGGTTAGTTGTTGTGTTTCTGTTGGGTATCTACAAAGTCGTAGGTCTACATGAGAGGCAAGGGGTAAGGTGCATGTCATATTCACCTCTCCAGAATATTAATCAGTATATATATATTTGATTTTTTTTTAAATTGAACCTAGAGAAAATCCAATACAGAGGATATTAGCTTATGTAACCCAAATACAGGCAAAATTTGCCTGCAGTACCTGCACTAAGGCGTTCTAACCGCATAAAAGAACAAACAAGAAGATAAAACGTTCAGTTTGAGTAGATCCAAGAAGATGATAGCCCAGCCAGCTATTTCAATACATATACACAAGTTATGAATTTGCTCCTGCGTGATTGGCATATAAGTTGTGAGTTATGGGCCATTTTGGCTACCCACTCAACAAGAAACGTATGATTTTCTTCAATGGCGATAAAAAAAGATAATTATATACTTTTAATAAACTACATTCAGTCATCAATGAGTGAGATCTTCAATATTAATGATTTTCTCACCTTTTTTCTTCAGAAGAACTGTGGGTCAACATATGTTTCTCCAGATTACCTTTAAGCTTACTTCTGTACGTACACTTTTCACAATTTAACCACACTATCTGATCCTCGCTCAGATGAATCAGCTTGTGGTTGCTCCAGACATTCCAATGTCTTGTAACGAAAGAACAAGAATCACATTCATACAAGGAAAGCTTTCCATTACTGTTGTGTGCCTCGACGAAATGGTACTTTACTTCCGCATCGCTCGCTGCACTAAAGGAACACTTTTTACAAGAGTATAGTCGTGTCGGAGGAATCACAGTAACGGAATTCATTTGGATATTGGTTTGGACTGAGTTTAATTTGGGTTGAGGGGAATATTCGCCATCAACAGATTCCACACCTTCCATCACGGTTTCCTCCTTTATCTCAGATTCCATCTTTAAAACCACTGCTTCAATCTGAGTGGATGGGTTTTGGGCGAGACACTGCAGCATTTTCATCGGATCAACCTCTTCAATGCAACTTCCTTGCTGAGCAAGGTATTCGGATATTTTTTCTTCAACTCTCAGGCATTTTAGAGTGAACATGTGTTGTTGTTTGAGGTTCTCGAAGCAGGTCTTGCAAATCTTCGGATCATAGGTCGAACCAATATCCTGCAAGAACAAGTGATCTATTTATTTATTTATTGTCAGCATGATTGTGTCATATAATAAAGGTATAATACAAAACCTATGCTACCAGTGATTAATATATTTTCAGTAATGGTACAAACTAATCTTTAGAATTAACAGTGGCAAAACTAACTAAACTCACCACTTCTGGTAAACATTGCAGTAACATCTGCCCCAAAGCTTTATTATTGAATATATCCAATTTAGTAAAACCATCGATACTCATACTGCAGCACAAGCGACAAATCGTTCTGTTACTTTCACATTCACTTTTATTTGCAAATAACACATCTTGGAGTTCCACGGTAGAAGCATTGCTATTATCTAAGTAACCCCTAACTTTCTGTTCTATTTCAAGACATTTAACTTTAAACTCGTAGGCTTTTTGAAGTTCTTCTAAGCATTTTGTACAGATGGGATGATTCAAAGCCCAAGTACTAGTCTGAAATGTTAAAAGCAAGAGGTAAAATCGATATTGGGTACTACCAAGATGGTTTATACCTTATCAGGAAGAATGAAGCTCAGTCTTTGTGACGAACAAAGTTCTTCAAAACTACTATGTTGTATGTTTGGTGACATCCTTTCCAAACATAGTCTGCAGATGGCTAATTTAAGCTCGTCCATTTGTCAAACTGAAAGAAATTACTGAAATTTGATGATATACCAGACTTTTATCACAGACTTTATTTTGATTTATAAGTAGATATCATCGAGAGACCTTTACAATTCAATATTTATCAACAATACTTAAAAATATCGTAACCTGTAATTTTGACGTTTGTTCTCCTATTTATATTTATATATTGGTATGATGGCCTTGGCCGACAGAGCTCAATGGGCAGTAAACCTCAATTCGGATAGGTTGAGGCCCTTCTAACATATTGTACATTGATAAAAATATCTTTACTAGCACATACCTCATGCAAATCTTTCAATTTTTTTTAACTACACTATCAACTCACGTTAATGATTCTACAGATTATTCACAGTTTACCAAAAACTCCATACGTGTTTCGCTATTCAATAATATCTCCATCAAAGACACGCCTGAAAAATCTATTGTAAAGCAAAATATGTGTTTTACTTCGGTAAAGACACGTCTAAAGAAGCTATTGTAAAGCGAAACACGTGTTGCATTTTCGTAAAACTATTCAGTGAGAATCTCACACTGAAGTACTTCTTGAATTCATATACATATATTAAAATGTATTGTTGACTCATTAAAATGCAGAGCCGAATACATGGGGTGCATAGCAAGCAGATGGAAAAACCAGCATGCAAATGGAAAAGATAAGATTCACTATAATCCATGCCTTAATTTGAAAAATCTAATGGCGACAGACGTGTGTTCGGCTCAAAAACGGTCAGTTGAAAAGCCAAGCTACCAAAGTTTGCAATCACCTTTGCAACTACTTTGGAAAAACTTGTTCATCTTTGATATTCGCAGATTCAGTCTTCTATCAATCCCATAGATGGCGTCTTCGTAACAGGAAATGCCATCGTCTCTACTCAGGCTTCTGCGATAAAAACGGTTGAGTCCAGCAGTACATTCGTGATTCAACTTAGCATATCACTCTCGAGTCCTAAGGCTGGCCGAAATACCATTCTATGGCGTTGGATCACAAATGCTTCTCTGATTTTATCTTTCTCCCTATTAGATACTACAAGTTTCATAGACAACCAGAAGAACGAGGAAGTTATCAACATAAGTATCGTTCATGCATTATACAAGTTTTTAACACTTTATAAACCACTAAAAACAAGAAAAATGTTTCAATTGGTCTTGAAATCAGGAAACATTCTTAAAAATTTGAATAGTCTCAAAATAAACTGAACGATGTCCGCAAACGTTTATCAATAAAAACAGCAACTAATCGGATGTTGAAAACAATAATATCGAGTCTGATATATATTGACAAAAACCCGATTTGGATATCGTCTATTATTGTTCAGCTTGTGTACGAATAAATCAACTAGCTAATGTCTTGATACATAATGATACGATGAAATTTTGATACTATATTTTTCTTGCTGTGGAATTATGACTAGATTTGGCATCAGTTGCCGGAATACGATTCAGCTGATTCTGATTTGATTTTGTTGACTCGATTTATGTTGCTTCTTCAATTTTCATTTCTTGTTGTGTTATTGTATTATTACAAGTCTTACATCGGTAATAATTTAAAAAAATTTACTGTCAAGCTATATTGATTAGTAGACTCAGTTTCATTTTCTGAATTAAGCGTTAGTTATATTTGGGTCACATTATATATTCTGTTCATATTTTCTTAAAATTATTTAGGGAGTATTTGAAATATTCTTGAAACTTTTGGAGCATTTTACAATCATGTAGAATTCGCAACATACAGTGTGTACTGTGAATGCAAAACACAAGACATTCAAATGACATTTTTGATATTTTAAAAGATTTGACAAACGAAATACAAGTGATCCAAGCAATCCAAGGATAGTAAATTCATTTGAAGTTCATATGTACTAATTGATTTTGAAAATCCATCAATATCACAAGTAGATTTTATGTTATTGAATATAGTTCACTTTGAGTTCAAAGTACACATGCAAAACGTTTTCAGCCTATGAAGGTATCTTTGCAATTAAAATTTGTTGGACAGTGCAGCATCAGAGAAACAAACCAATACCAAGTCACAAAAAAGAAGAATTTTAAACGTCAATTTTGTAAATAGTGAAGTCAGTTGAAATTTATATTTTCAAAAGAAAGTCTAATTTAATTATCCAGTTGGCCCCAATTGCTCCTGATTAGGAAGCAACGGCCAATAACGAATGTTTATTTGAATGAAAAAGCGATTATATTACCATGAAGTTTCAGAAGAAAATCGACACTTTCAATGCCATTTACGTCTGTTCAATACTTTTGAGAATACTCTTAGTACTGGTACCTCAAACAGGTTACATACATCCAGACGAATTTTTCCAGTCTGTAGAAGTACTAGCGGGAAAATTCCTAGACATAGAGTGCAGCCCTCCATGGGAGTTTAATGTAACATTCCCTCTGAGGAGCATGACCATCCCGTACTTCACTATAGGTCAGTCCTACAAGTCTTTGAGGTATCTCAACAGCCTAAGTGAATTGTACTTTCAGAAGACAATTCTTGGACCGTATCTATTACTGGTGGTACCGAGACTTCTCATGTGCCTTCTTTCATTCCTAGTGGATTATTGTCTGTACAAAATTTGCTCTAACAATAACGAGAAGTGTAAGTCCCGATTAGTCATTTTAGCCAGTTCGTATGTTACGATAGTTTACGGAACTAGGACTTTTTCCAATACGGTAGAACTGGTGCTGTTTTCAACTCTGATATATCTCGTCTGCGAAAGCTTGACATTTTCGAACATTGTGTTGAGAAATCGTGAGTACATCAATTTCAGATACGACAATAGTAAATCCACTGCAGAGAAAGCCAAGTTTCACAAACTTAGACTCTTCATAGTGTCGGATTCGTACAGAAACTGCTTTGCTATCAGTACAATAAGCGTTATGGGGTTTTTTAACAGACCAACGTTTCTTGCCTTTGCAGTGATACCTGTATTCTTCTGGCTTTACCGAGGACTTGGTAGCAAATCTGTGACTCCTTTCCAATTCTACAGGAGAATATGTGTTTTTCTACTGTGTTCCATACCAGCATTACTGTTGAATATTCTAGTTGATTCTTTCTATTACGGATACATTACTTCTGGGGAAATATTCATGTTGGAAGTCACTATAAATAGCTTCGTGTTCACTCCACTCAATTTTCTAAAATACAACCTCAATGCTGACAATTTAGCAATACATGGGATTCATCCAAGATTTCTACATGCTCTGGTTAATATTCCCCTGCTGTTCAATGTTTTGGGACTGTGCACAGTTTACACTTTGGGGAAGTATTTGTACTTGTAAGTATTGTTTTTGCTAACCATTATAATTCAGTTATATCGTTTGTTATGATATAAATCTTTTATTTGATGAAATGCTATATAGATTGTTCCACAATGCCTTTCTCAAGCGATTTTTCAATTACTTGAAAAGATGGGAAAATTATAAACTGGATCAAAAGGTCAATTATATAACCTAAAGCTGTTAGTTGCTAAACCATCATCGAGATTAACTGCAACTTTTTTTCAAATGAAACCATTTTTGTATGTAATCAACAATCTAGTATTTTAATACTGAGAATAACAGTACAGTAATAAGAATACTCAAGCTGATCATCTCTCAAACCCGGTTATGAATAATGGATGAAACTATCAACGTACGTATAAGAAAATTAATATTTCAAAATAAAATCTTGAAGTAGGTATTCATGTTTCCCAACTACCTGCACCGTAGGTTCTGGTGTAGGAGATATCCTACCCAAACAGCAAAGTGCCTGGGACTCTATTAATTTTAACGCAGCTCGACTGCATGTCAGAGTCAGTCGGAGTCAAAAATGCTTTATTGCCATAAAAGTTTAGATTTTGTTGACAAAGCAGGCTTAAGAACTAAAACAATCCGAAACATTAAAATAAAGGNAAGTCATGATAATTAAATGAAATTAAAATTATGCAAACCAATATGGATTGTCGGATGTTAAAAGTGGATGTACTTAATGTATATATACAGTCATGTTTCTATAAAATATTTTCACAACAATACAGTAGAATAGAAATAAAAACAGTTTTCCCTAATTTATTCTATATTAATTGGTTATAAATACAAAACAGGAAAGAATTGTCAGATGATAAAAACATTAAAATAATATATATACATATATACACATATACATACACATACGCATATATACACACATATATACACACACACAGACATATATACATATACACACATATACACGTACATAGACCCATGTACACACATATAATAATTTTATAAAATGTTTGATTTCTTAATACAGTTAATATGTACATACATATATAGTCATACATACACACCTACCTTTAAAACTATTTAGTGAGAGACATAGATACGACATATTTTGTACTGCTGTCACAGCTATTCAAAATTTTGTTCAAAAAATTCCCTCAAATCATAAAACGGTCTTGTTATTAAAAATTTTTTTACAGCCCTTCTGAATTTCGGAGTGCTATGAATATTTTTAATTTGCTTCGGTAGATGGTTGAACATCTCTGCCATTGCCATAATACATTGCCATAATACATGATGAATTTTACTAGATCGGACTTTCATTGTCTAATATTATTTTAAATGATTAGATTTAAATGAAAGAACAAACAAAATTAGAACGAATGGCTGAAATATCAATTACTTGTTGTTGCCCGCCTAGAATTTGGTTTGTCACATTAGTTCGGACTTCCATTGTCTACTATGATATGATTTGAAATCCCTGAAAGAATCAATGAAATTAAAAAGATTAGCTGAAAAAATAACAATTATACTCAGCAAAAGAAACTGAAATTACAATGAAATAAATTAAATAAAAAAGTCAAATGGCGTGAGATCGGGTGATCTCGGTGGCCAATCCCACGGCCCTAAACGCCTAAACCAACGATCGTCGAAGAGTTCGTCAAGTTTCCTGGAAACTTCCTGGGTGGAATGAGCTGGCGCTCCGTCCAGTTGAAACCACGAATTCCTATATTCCTCTAAAGGTAAATTTCCAAGAAAATCGGTTACAGTCGTTCTTAATATTTGGAGAAATCTCTCTGCATTCAGTGTGTCTTCATAAATAATAAAGCTAATTTTATTGTTCTTCAGAATACAGAAAACATTCAGGTCAAATTTCTCTTGAAAACCCATTTCTTTTGTAACATGAGGATGTTACTCAGTATCAGAATACTACGATTATTTTAGGACAGTTCACGTCAGCCATGTTTACTCGAGATGAAACATACTCACCGGTATCGTTTGTACTGTGGTAGTTTGTAAATACCCCTATTATCATAGGTGAATATTCATTTGGTTATATATGTACGTAGATAACCTCTGTGTTGCTTAATATTTTTATATTTTTACAATTTACTTACTTGTTTCATATGTTTATTTAAGAAAGCCTATACACTTGACTTGCTACAAACATGAAAATGTAACGTAGTTAATAAACTATTCTATTCTATTCTATGATCAGCCCAAAAATGTTTATTCCTTCTATTGAAAATACCACCCCTCGTAAACTTTGATTCGTCGCACCAAATTAATGGCGCAATAATGTTCGAATTGGAGTCTTTCCATTTCGAGGCAAATAATGGACCAATAAGATGGCCTGCAAGATCACCAGATCTTACCATGTATTTATGACGATGTGTCTCTGTAGTTGTTCGTAAAATAATTTTTTGCTGCGAACTGGTTTATTTTGGGCAATGAAGTTTCTTTATATGAAAGATCCTGTCTTTTTTTCGATGAGGAGTCACCTCTGTAGATGTTTTTCTCTTATTTAGTTACACCCTGTATTTTGATGAGGTTTAAACATTTCTTCAAACTGAATGTAATGTTGAATACATCTTTCATATCGCGATAAATATCATCAATAATTGAAATTCAATGTAATTTCCACTCATTTTTGCAGGTGCTTCCAAAAGAAGTTCAACCTGCTTCCAACAATAAGGAGCATCAAATGTCTGATGACTCTATCCGCCGTTGTTCCAGTGGCTATCCTTTCCATCTTTCCCCACCAGGAGCCAAGATTTCTCCTCCCCGTGATTTTACCCCTAGTTTATCTGCACGCAACGACCATTTTGCGAGAACCTGAAGACACCCTGGTCGAAGCACCCAAAACACAAATCAAACCGGACTCTTGGAAAACTAAACCTTCCAACTCCTTGTTGACCATTTGGCTGCTAGTGAATGTCCTGCTAGGGGTGCTTTACGGCTTTCTGCATCAAGGAGGGGTGCTACCCGCTACCGCATATCTTGCTAGAGACATGGAGCTGACATCGATGAAGACAGAGTACCACATTGTGACGAGTCACATTTATTCAATCCCTGAGTCGTTTTTCTTACAAAAATCCTCTTATAAGCTGTATTCCAGAGGAAAAACGCGATATTCCGTGAACAAGAGGGTATTTTTATACGAAGAAGGATCCAAAAACCTAGAGTTCATCCTGAGGAAGTTGAAGCTTATTCTGGATACCAGAAGCAATCCGGGAAAGAGAATGAAACTGTTCTTGTTGATATCAGGGAGTTTAGGGGAGGATCTCATGTATTTTTCCAGCAATAGAACACTGAAGCTTGATTTGGTGGAGCAGTTTCGACCTCATCTCAGTTTGGAAGCCTTTCCAGATTTAACGACACACTGTTTGGAACCTTTACAGGGTTTTTATAGCAGTAATTGTTTAGTTTTGACACCAGAGAAATATTTCAAGTGGTTATTTGACTCGTTCTCTCTCAACTTGTATCAAGTTGAAGAGGATGAAATCAAGGTGTTGAGGTGAACTAAGTATTTAGAAAGTAGCTATCACAGTGTCTGTCTTGGATGTTCTGGTTTTCAGCACTTTGAACAATGTTCATTTAGACTGTGTGGAGAGGTGAGCTTTTATAGCGAAAAATAGTATTTTCAGTATAATGCTTGTTATTCACATTTACAGGATGTGTCCACATTTTTAAATGTAACGCAAATAAATACTATCTGAACGAGGGAAGATTGCTTCATTCACTGCAAACCTTTTGACTTGATTCTCTAATACTCAGGAAAAAAAACCCAATTACAAACAGATTCAAAGATACAGTGCATTTCTTTATTGTCCCCCCCCTTTTATTTTTTGAACGGGTTAACACCGCCGGACTTAATTTCATAAACATTGTGGCCACAACAACATTGTGGCCACGTTGACTGCACTTCGCGGTTGACCAAACCACATTTTTGTGGTCGACTTGCGGTCATATAAACCACACTTGCAGTTGAGGCTACTGACATCAAAAATTGAATGCTGTGAGACCAATATAAGAAACAGTACACGACGGTGTACGCGGTTGGGTACGACTGCAAGTTTGTGGTTAGTGTACGGCGGATGCCGCGATGACACTCGGCGGAGATCAGCAGCAAGTTGACTGCAGACGCCCGTTTTGACTTTTGTGAACGGCCGTGTACGTGTAGTACAGTATTTCTTATGGGCGGCTTGAGTTCGCTGGAACGCGACTGCAACTGTGTGGTCGATCCGACCGCAAAATGTGGCTCGTGTACGGGTGCACTAATGCATGAATACTTCATTTTCAAGTGAGATTGACAGATGAAAAAAATTGAATGGAAAGGGGGGGTCTTGTGATACATCATTTTAAAGCTCCTGGCGAATACTTCACAACCCTAAAATATAGAGTCAATATCTTCACCTATTACAAAATGGCGAAACATTTAATAATTTCCTGAAGAGAAACACATTAATATTGATATTTCTAGAAATATTCCTTTCTATCTGCTATATGCCAATTCCAACAAACCGATAAGGTTTGTTGAGTTATTTTTTGTTTATAAAAACGTCAAAAAATGTCAGTGCGACAATGAACATCATTGTTCAGTTAGAATATTCTCATTTAGTTTTCGGTTTTATTAGTAGAAAGGTACCATGTCAACAATTCTCTAAAATGGTCAATTCTCGTCCACTCAAAAAGAAAATTGAAACGATTTTTATTTACGGTGCGACGCGTTATTTTCACGAGACCGAAAGGATTTTCAATGAACGTTTTCCGAATCGTATCTGTAGAAAATATTTGAGGGAAATTGTATCCAAACTCACAACTACCGATAGTGTATATAACAAAAAGCTCCCAGGTCTTCCGTCCATTTCGGAAGAACAGCAAGTGCAAATAAATTAGTGAGATGGTAGTAAATCCTGAACAGTCTACTTATTCCGTCGCGAATGTTCGTGAAGTGTCTCCTTCTACTGTGTGGAGACTTTTGAAGAGGAACAGGTATCATCCATACAAAATTAAAATGGTACACCAATTAACTAAAGATGACCCTGATCAAAGAACAGAATACTTCTGCGAAATCATGACAAAAACCAACGCAAGGCATCCTACTTATCTCCACAATAATTAGTGACGAATATACATTTTTTAAACGGCAATGTTCACAGGCAAAATTGCCTTAAGTTTTTCGGGAAACATATACCCAATATCCAGAAAAAAATAACGTTTGGCAGGAATATTGGGAAGCCACATTTTTGGACCTCTATTTATTGATCAAAATTCAACAGGGGAACTGTATTTGAATATGCTGGAAACTACTGTTGACCCTCTCATCACTGAAATCGCCAAAGCGAATCCTAATGAATTCAATATGGATATTGTATTCCAACAAGATGGAGCGCCACCACATTACTTCAGACAAGCAGGAAACTATTTGGACACTACTTTTCCCGGTCGTTGGATTGGCCGTCGAGGTCCTACATAATGGTCAGCCCGTTCGCCAGATTTGACACCTTTGGACTTTTTTTATGGAGCTATTTGAAGGAAAAGGTGTACGAAACTGATCCTGCTTCAATATTGGATATACGGCAGATAATAATTTAATATTTCTAGAGATATTGACGTTACTGTGTTCGAAAATATTCGGCGTAAAATATCGGATAGTATCAACAATTGAACCTAATTTGACGAACCATTATCTAATTGAGGATGAGTCTAACACTCGATTGATGGGAAATAGAGTCGTATACTATATGTTCAACTGTCGTCTGCATTCCCTGTTAAAACTTGAAGAAATAAAACGTTCCTTTAGTAGATGATGAGAAGTCATTCATAAAAATTAGCGCAATGCAGTGTTAGAGTATCCGTATTTGGGCTGGCATTTCGTCTACATTTGCAGCAGACATCGTTATTATCACTGTAGATTGGTTATCACTATTATTGGCCGTAGACCGGTCATTATCATTTATGAAATGCAGTATGGCATTTTGTACCCCCTTTCACCAATTTTCTTCAGGTGTTGTTGCTGATTGTATGTGATGTTATTTTTGATTCCAGTGCCGTAATGCTGCATTTGTCAATGGGCTGTTTGTTTTTCTTGGGTACCTAGTAATCTTCACCGATTCTACAGGTCAAAAAGGAAGCAGGAATCAAACTAGCACCCTACATAGTTACAAGCACAATTCTTCCACACATCACTATTACCTACTTCATTCACCACTCGCCTTAAATTGTCAAGCACCACAGCATTCAAAGTCGGTGACTGATTACATTTCCGCAAGCTTTCTTTCGTTGTGGCCCAAACCATTTCAATTGGATTGAACACACAATAGTATGGAGGCAAATGTAAGAGAATATGACCACGTGTTTCACACATCGAATCAATTGTAATTTTTTTTTGAAATTACGTTGTTTTATGGGCGCCAGTAATACCTTTTTCGTTGGAGTCTTTTCGGGTATATCCATGTCATGATTTCGCATGAAATCAACAATGTCTGCTTTTTTTGTGTTATTGTTTAGTATTGTAGTCAATAACCGAGAATGATACGAAGCGTTATCCATAACAATAACCGAGTTTGGAGGAATATTTGGGAGAAGCTGCTCACTGAATCAGGTTTTGAATAAGGCCGCGGTCATATTTTCGTGGTAATCAGTAGACGAATCTTTTATATTTTTGGCCGACAGAAGCAAAGCGTTAGGTACGAAACCACTTTCATTCTCGGCTTACAAAATTATAACACGTTTTCCCTTCGTAGAAGGTGTGTTCACACATCTTCTACAATAGAACAATACAATAGAACAATTGAATAAATAAAAATTGAAGAAATGAAAAAAGGAAATAAAAATAAAAAGTGAAGAGATTCCAAGTCACGTTAGTTCACGACGTTTCGAATGTTAGTATCTACAATCGCCTTCGTGTGATGATTGGCCCAGTCATCACCCATCATCCACGGTTCACGGTTCACGAACAACTAGTTTCCATGTTGTAAAGCTTTTTATTCAACGCATCCTACAAGTAAACTGAAAAATATCACTAAGACTAAGACAAAGACTAAGACTAACCCCTCTACCATAGCATTTGAACTTCCAAAAGAAAAGCCAAGTCGATCCTATTGATGGGTGCAGTGTGTCTGTTTGAGTGGAGATAACTCCTCTCTTTTGGCTAGGATGGTGGTTCGATAGTGCGTGCAAGTATATATCTGTGTGTGTGTGGATTTTCGATACACTTTGTGGGTTAGTCTGGTACCAATCTGGCTCAATCTCCATGGTGAATTCTATGCTCGGGTGTTGGGCGTTCAAGTGGTTTTGGAAACGGTTCAGAGTGGCTCTTCCATGTTTCCAGATGACGAAGGTGTCATCCACGTAACGTGGCCATAAGGTCGGCTTCAATTCAAAAGTGTCTATCGCCTTCCCTTCAAACCGTTCCATGAAATAATTAGCTATCACTGGGGTAAGTGGACTCCCCATCGCAACGCCATCTAGTTGCTCATAGAAGTTCCCCCCCCCATTGAAAGTAACTTGCTGTGAGACATGCTCTAAAGAGTTCGACGATGTCATTCGGGAACACGTGGGCTAACCCCCTCAGAGAGTCTTCCAGTGGGACATTGGTAAACAAAGACACCACATCGAAGCTGACCAGAATATCCGTCGGCTCCTGCGTTAAGCCCCTAATTTTATCAACGAAGTCTGTCGAGTCCTTGACGTAGGAGTTGGTCTTTCCCACATGGGGGTTGTAGGAGCGAGGCCAGATGTCTCGCCAAGTGGTAGGTCGGAGAGCCCGGGGTACTGACTATCGGTCTCAGTGGCATGTTGGTTTTGTGTATTTTCGGAAGCCCGTAGAGCCTAGGTGGAACAGTTTCAGTTCTAAGAATGGCTTTCTGTGTGGTTTCCGACAGTGAGGAAGATCTTATGATTTTGTTCACGTTCCTTAACTTAGATTGCGTTGGGTCCCGTTGAAGTTTGCGATAGTTTGCCTGGTCCAGTAGTTCTTCAATTTTGTTGTTATATTCCTCCGTATTCAGAATCACCGTGGCATTTCCTTTGTCTGCTGGAATTATCGTGATGGTCTCATCAGAGTTCAAGCTCTTTAAGGCTGCAATCTCTCTTTTAGGGATGTTGCAATTAGGAGGACGTGCCTTGCTCAGGATGTTTGCTGTTACAATCCTGATTTGTTCCGCTTCTTCATCCGCTTCTGTACCAGCGATAATTTCCTCGTTTGGAACCCGTCGTGGCATGATCGCGAAGTTACCGCCTCGTGCTATCACTGACATTTCATCTTCAGTGAGAACCCGGTTCGTTCGGTTTATGACCACTCTGGACACTAAACGAGGGGTCGTTGTACATACAGCCTCGTGTAGATTTTCGAAATTCACTTTGTGCTTTTTGCTCACTCTGTCCCGTTCATTTTCCACTTTTGAGTGGTACAAATACAAATACAACGGATTACCTGACAAGACATAAATACGCTTTACGAAGCCTAAAAGGTAGTCATAAGACAGCAAGCCATGATGGTTAAACCTCTGAAGAAGCTAGCCACTCGCGCCAGCGAAACGTCAGGAAGAAATTCCAAAAATCCACGACTTTCAAACTCGAAAAACAATGACACTGAAGAACTGTCTTGATCCTCAAACTAGCCATCAACCGCCGACATCACTTCTTCATCGTTGGAAAATCTTTGACCACTGAGCCATTGTTTCAAGTTTGGGAACAGAAAATAATCCGAGGGGGCTAA